ATCAGGGCAAAGGTGGGGAGAGGGACTCGATCCATTCGTGTTTTCTGGCCCTGTTCCAGCACACAGCCATATCTTCTGCTTGATGCTCCCTGTGCCGTCCCTGCTGTCTCCTAACACAACACTGGCTGTAGCATTAGCATCCAGCCTTTTCCCATGTTTGCAACTGAAAGAAGTTATTCTCAATGTATAAATATGGCTTACAGAGTCCCTGTGTCTGAGGATTTTTTTAGTGCTTAAAAGCAGCCCTGTTTTTGTTCAAGTTCAACAGAAAACTGCTAAAATTGGTAATTTCATTTTTGAATTCTGCTTTGCTGATGCTGACATTAAAAGCTGTAGCAAAGAAAACCTGGAAGCAAAAGAAATTGTAAAGAAAGTATTAAATATTGCCCCTCTGGTGTCTTCAAAAGACAAGAAAATTGAGGAGAATTCCACTGTGACCACATACGATGCTGCCATTGCCACTAGAAACTATCTAAGGGTCTGCAAAACAAAAATGAAAGGTTGTAAAGTCGCTGGTTTGTGAGCCTGACCATGGGGGGTCTGTGCTCAGCAGCCCTATTTCTTCCACGCTGTCTCCATATGTCACAGTAACATACGGTGCTGGAAAACACAACGTGCGGGTACGGGTGTTGAAAGAATCAGCACCGTTGTTTTCCTAGAAAGGAAGACCGAGGGAAGCTTAAAAAAGAAATAGCAGGGGGAGAGGAACAACGTTGTACTTGTCCTGTGCACAATAAACAATGGAAAATGCCCTGTCAGTTAATGGATATTTGAGGGAAATAAGGGCAGGTGGTCACAGCGCTGCCAGGCGGTCTCCGTCGCAGGTGGTTTGGGAAGAGGGCCCTCACAGAGGACCCGGGTCCTGTCGATGGGGGCGGAAAGCCAGGCGCTTGCAGAGCTGTGGCGACTGCAGGTGCCAGCACCAGGCTGTTAGTCATGTGTGAGACACCTGAGTGCAGGTGTGGGGACACGCCATCACCCGACGAGGGGTCCGGGGGTGCCTGCAGTGACTCAAACCAATGGAAAAATGCGGTGGGAGGGAGGGAGGGATGCGCTCGCTGGAGCAGGCGATGCCTCAACTTGGATATCACAGCAAGGGGTTGCTTTGGAGAAGGGAAAACCCCACTGTGTCCACAACCACCCCTCCCCCAAGAAATAAAATGTTGATAAGAGGATGCTGTGGCTGATGGGACGTGGCTGCTACTCTCCATGAGTAAACCCCAGCTGCATTTATCTAGTCCTTTAAAGTGAGATGTGCCCCTGGAGGGGTGATGCCACCACAGAGGGAGCTGCGCATGCAGAGCTGGAGTGATGCATTTCCCACCCAGTTTATTTTGCTTTATCAACAGAATGAAACTGTTTTCTCAAAAGCAAAGCTTGGCTGACAAAATAGTAACCTTTAACAGGCATCTGTGGCAGGCTGATGTGCTAGCATGGAATGGGCAGCTCCCCAGCCCTGGCAGGCCCTCCTCCTCGTGCCTCGTTACTCCCTGGGGCCAATCTGGGAGGACTGGGAGGGAAAAGAGCTCCTGGACTCTCATCTTGGACTACGCAGGACACACCAGTGCAGCAAGAATTTATCTTTTTGCTTGCTTTCCTCCCCGCCCCACTCCCCTCCCTTATTTTGCTGACCTGAGTAAACCTAACTGCTGATTCCCAAGTGGCTGGTCCCCAAGGAGGTGGAGGAGGGGTGGAGAGCAAACAGATCTGCGGTGCCCTGGGCAGGGCCAAGGGGAAGGTAGGGAGCAGCTACGCCCAACAGCCAGTGTCCAGCACAAAGCCTGAACCAGCCGACCCAAGGCTGGCAGCCAGCAGGGTGATTAGTCCTAGGAAGTGGAGGGGGATGTCTTTTGGGGTTAATGTGGAAAACTGGGAATAAAAGTAAAAACTGCAGTTTTGGGAAGGAGACTAAATTGCAAAGAGGGGCACAAGCACCTGGGACTGCTGGCTTCATTGCTGATTTGCAGAGGTGCCTGCAGCAAAAAGGCCACAGCTCTGTGAAGGGCCAAGAGCTTATCCTGCAGCAGCATTAGGTTCATGCTGAGCATCTGATATGGCCCGAGCACTAAATAACATGATTAATAAACAGCCTTGCAGGCAGTGAGCAGCACATCCACGCCAGTTCCTGGGAAAATGACTAAGCACTCTGCCACGCACTGCCTTTCCCCTCTCCTTTCCTGGCCCAGCTTCTGGGGGGGTAGGAGGCTGGCCAAACCTCCACATGTGGCCAGATGTTCTTGAGCTTCTGGCAATGAATTCCTGCTCAGCCCCTTGAGTGGAAACCCCTGTGTCTCACCCAGCTCCAAGCTTCACCAGGGGGACTGGAAATGTGGATGTGGGATGCTTCCCTCTTTGGAAATTTCTCAGACTGTCTTTAAAAGGATGCAGAAAGTGGTTTTTTTCTTTTTCTTTAAAAGAGTCAAACCTCGCAACATCTTTGCTATAAATCCCCAGCCTGGCAGGCACCATGCAGCTGTGCCACTTATGCTCAGTCTATGCTGCAGCAGGGTGATGCTGCCAGCTCCGAATTCCCTCGTGATGATACACCCAGTTGGAAACAGGCATTTGGGGAGCTGCCGTTTGTTGGTCTTCTTTTTCCACAACGGAGGTATTTCCTACCCACTCCCACCACCACCACCACCACCACCACCCCCCATGTGTTTCAAAGAGCAGCTTTTGTTCTGGAGAAGTATTGCCTTGTACCAAAACGCCTGTTATTCTGCAGTAAATTATCTTAAAATAGAGACCTCTCTGCCAGATGTTTGTCTTGGAGCAACTCTCCAAACTCTGTGACAGAAATGAAAGGATGGGAAAGGCAAGGCACATGTGACAAGAGCAGAGGCTGATGCTGCTTCTGGACCAGTGTTGTCTCCTGCTACTGGCAGCACGGCAGGTCCCCAGGATTAGGGGTACAGCCAGCCAGATCTCCCAGCCCTGCGCCAGGTCAGGACAGGTCACTGTCACCTGGGAAGAACGTTCAGCTGGTAAACGCAAGTCTTCCCCCTCCAGCAGCCAGGCTGAGGTGCAGCCTGATGGCAGGACTGCTGCAGTGAGCAGCCAGCAAGACCTTCAGCCTCCAGTTTTCGCTCTCATCCCTTTTCAAACTCTGCGCATTTCCCCTTTACATGCCATGGCACATCTTTATCATATATACTCTACCTGGCTTTTTCCCAACCAGGCACAGGTTTCTCTCTCCTCATGGGGCCAAACAAAACTCTGCCTCCCCTCGGAGGAGAGCCATGAGTGTCTCCAGCCCCACTGCAAGCTGCCCATGTCTTCTACAACAGTTTTTCCGAAGAGTGATGGGGCAGAGCACAGGTGCACATTACGTGCTGACACTGCCATGTATTTTTCTTTCTATTTCTAGCAAGTGTCTGTGTTTGGTTTTGACCACTGCCACCCTGTCTACAAGGACCACAAGATCTCTCACCTAAGTGATCAGGGTGTCTCTTCCAGTGTGCACAAGAGGCACTGGGGTCTCCCTGGCAGTTACCTGTGTGTGCCATTCTTTAGTACCAGATATTATTTTTCCACTCGAGCCTGCGGCTGCTCAGAGCCAGCTGTAGTTGGGAC